GACCAAATATCCAGTTTGGACTGGAAGGTGCTTTTGGCTCGTGAATGAGGAAGTTGAGCATTTATGGTACCGCTTACATTGTTTGATATTACAAGTTATTCTTGAACTGAGAACAAGATTCAAAGAGGACTCTGATGCTATGTATGCATCTTGTTTGATCCCTTTTAGTAGATCAGTGCATCTCTCTCATGGCTATTGAATGCCACAGTGCACGGGTGGGGAACCTGCAGCCTTTTGGGGTACTAGTTGCAGCATTCTACCTATTTGTCCGCAAATATTAAATTAGCCTTTTTAAATCTGTGCACCATTTTTAAAATTTTTGCTGGTAACCCAATCAAGTCAAAAAGTAAGAAAAGAATATTAAAGGATGAGAGCAGAGTATTCAATGAAGTATGGGAATTGCAATATTATGTAGTTGCTGTGAAAGATAAAATGATTTGTTTGCTCTGCGATGCCGTAATTGGAACAGTGAAGAAATACAGTGCATACAGCGTTATGCAATTCGTAAGGACCACAATTATGCTAAACTGGAAGGAGAACCCCAAAAGTCTGCACTTAAGAAAATGAAAGATCAAAAGCAGCAGCAGCAGCAAGTATTTAAAACAATGTCACGACGAGGGACTGACATCACTGAAGCAACTTCTACAGTAACATATATACTTGGGAGAAGAGGTAAGCCATTTAGCGATGTGGAAATAATAAAAGAATGCATTGTTGAAGTTGTAGGATGTTTAGATTCAGATAAGGTTAAATAAGCACAAACAACCACCTCCTTTCAAGAAGGACCATAACTAATTGGCAGCATGAATTAGCCTTCAATGTAACAAAACAACTTCATACAATATGCCAAAGCAAAAACATTTATTATTTGATTACCTTGGATGAATCCACTGACATTACTGACTCAGCGCAGGTGTATTTTTTATTCATGTTATAATTGCGAATTTTCATTCCATGAGGAGTTACTGGCTTTGGGTACCCTTACGACAAGGACACGTGGAATTGACATCTTCGCTGTCTTAAAAGAAAAATGCTGTGAAGCGAAACTTAATTTATGTAATTTAGTAAGTGCATGCACAGATGGTGCATCCTCCATGAGAGGAAAACATGAAGGATTTGTTGTGTTACTACAAAAAGAATTGCTAGATTCACATACTTTGATTTCCTTTCATTGTCTTTTGCTTTTACAGAATCTCTGCCAAATCTCCTGTTTTAAGTGACACATTAAGTAAAGTCTCAGGTATTGTAAACTACATTTGAGCAAATGCGTCATGGCATCGCCAATTTCGCAATATGCTTCAGCTTAATGAACCATACAGTGTGGATCTGCCATATCATTCTTAAGTGGGCTGGTTGTCACAGGACAAATACTTGTAAAACTATTATCTTTGCCAAAACAAATTGCAAGATTTTTCAAGGAACTGAATGAACCATGTGAATTGTCAAGAGGATTTCTGCAGAAATGCTGCATTTTTGTGTGATATAATGTCAAAGCAAAATGATCTGAATTTTTTTTTTGCAAGGTAAAACTAAATCTATACATGGTATGTAGTTAAAAATCCAGGCATTTTGGAGAAAGCTGACCTTTTTCAAAACTCCTTACCCGATTGGAACTTTCAACTGTACACTTTCCTGAACTGGCAAAGGATAAACAGGATACAAGCAAATCATTAAGGAAATGCAATGGGAAAGAATACACAGCTGTTCTAGACTACCTGATTGAAGAGTACAGTGAAAGGTTTGCAGATTTTGAGAAACATGATTTCACACAAACTAGCTTTTCAACCACACCTGGTTGATGTCTCCAAAGCACCTGATTACTTACAGATAGAATTGACTGAGCTCTCAGAAAATAACATTCTGAAGTCTCTATTTGACACGAAGAAGGATCTCAATGAAATATGGAGGAGTGCCATTGAATACCCATGTCTATGTCAACATGCTTGTCGAATGCTGACTTGTTTTGGCACAACCTACTGTTGTGAATTAGAGATCTCAGATTACGATAGTCTCCTGGATGACCAATTAAAGCTACAGTCAACAGTTTTGAACTAAATATCTGATTCCTATCTCGCAATAAGCAATCACAAAAAAGTCATTAAATGGCTTGTCTAAACTTTTCACTTATTAGTTCTATTGTTAACTTTGTCAAATAAATGTCTTTGAATTTTTGTTTATAGCCCTCATAATAGGCTTTAATTAATTAAAACTAGTAAAATGTTGACAAAAATACGACATTTTGTTATATATGTTAAATTCTCAGCATGTGGTCTCACAGGATCTTTGTTAAATAAAATGTGGCTTTCCAATATAAAAAAGTTCCCCACCCCTGTAAGCATGTCATCTGATCATCTTAGTTTCCCCATACTTACAATGAGCAAAACTGACAAACTCTGTTTTCTCTTGCATATTGAAAGAACTAAAAGATTGGACAAACTCTGCAGTGGCAGTTCAAATACCAGGACCGGTTGGGTTCTAATTTGATCTTTGATCTCTGTTGCATATGTTGATTTTAACTGGAGTACTAGAAATTCAAAAGGACGAGTGAGGGAGAAGAAGAAAGAATCATTATTCATTGTTATCTAGGAAATCCTGCTGGAGTGCCCCACTTTAGCTGTCAGATAAGACATTTCATCATATAGCCGAATGACCTGACTAAATTTACTACAGAGGTTCAGGCATGAGTGGTGACTATTTGATAAATTAACAGTGGCCACTTTGTACTTGCGAGGTCAATCTCATTCAGTGCTGACATAGAAGGGGATTAACAGAAAATTGATAGATCGGATTGAATATAATCCTTGGGTTCAGCACATTAGATTACTCCCAAATCAACAGATTTGTAACCATCAGCACATCATGCTTAAGTTACATAACTGAAAATATACGTAGAAGCAGAGTTTGTGGAACAAATCGGTTTGAAATACTAGTGTCAAAACACCTAGTGTAGCTGCGTGAATGTTTCACGGGCACCGACATTTGTGCTTTACTTAACCCATTGTTCCCCGATGTCACTGTCACTGAGACAGCATTTTTGGAAACAATAACTCTTAAATCTAACTCCGTACTCTTAAAAAGTAAATTTATACACACAGGCCAGTTGTATTAGAGGACTCAATATAATCACATCATAAACGTCTGCCCATCATTCAGTCATACAATTAAGTAAATGCTCAAACCTTGTTAATGCCCTAAATTCAGTAAAACAATGAACAGCATGAGTTCGTTTGTAAAGACACCACTGCTAATAAATATTCACAGTCCCATTGTTTTCAGGATGTCTGCAGGTTATCTAATTACGTGTTTTATATCTTGGAGTAGCAATCAGGTTATTACGGTATTAGTATCAGCCAGCTAATGTCGGTAAGGCCCGAGTTCAAATCTTCTAGTCAGAAGAGAACTTCGTAGATGCAGGTTGACAAAGAATATTTAATTTTGAATTCAGGGATTACCAGCTGAAGCTCATCTTCCCAGTATACTTAAGAATAGGGTAACCTAAAACCCTTGGGAACTCCATGGGAATTCTGAAAACAATGTTGACAGCGCACATGGTTATACGGCATGCAAGTTCAAACTTGAGCAATGGGAGACTTCTGTGACTCCAACAATTATAGTGGTATTTGTGTCACTTCTGGCCAGAAAAGCAATGACATTGCAACTAAAGGGAGGAACTTAAAACATGGCCATCACTCGGGAGAAATGTACTGAGCAAACTATTGGGACTGAAGGCGGTCAAGTCCCCAGAACCTGATGGCTGAGGTCCTAGGGTCTTAAAGGAAGATGCTGAAGACATAGTAGATCCATTGATTATAATATTCCAAAATCCCCTCTGTGGAAAGGTTCAAGTGGATTGGAAAAGTGCTAATATCCCACCCTTTTTCAAAAAGGAAGAGAAGCGGAACCCCTTTGACCAATTTGGAGCCAGGATCTGTCAGTCGATATTCAGCATCTGAGCTGGTGTGGGACCCCGACAGCGTGACTGTCTCCAGCTTGGAGGTGGCAGGAAAGGAGCACGTTGCCAGGACCCCAAGGATGGCGTCAGACAGCAGCGACTGGAGACCAAGATAGGATGAAATCTGCGGAAAGGGAATGATGAATTTTTGAAGCTGTTTCAGTTTGAGATATTAGAAAGATTAATTTATTCAGTAATTACCACTTATGCAATTTATTCTGTAATCCAAGATGGCGCTAGAACATGGCAACATTATCCACTTTTCACTGAACATAGGGACAAGTGACAATATATGGAATTAATTTTTTTTTAAGAATAGCTGTAGGTTGATTTAATAACTGATTTCTTACAGGACAAGTATCTGCCAAATGTTTATTAGGTGGGTATTCAGTTGTATTTACAGGCATTTACGTTTTTTGAACGCATACCTCTTCACTGCATTGCACCATTGAAGTTTTAGTGTTATCTTTCAAATGGCATGTTTGACCAAAGTCCAGTTTGTTCTTTTGGGCAGATGTGTATATGCATTAAAAAAATCGTGTTGCGCTATTTGAAGTGAAAGGTGGCTCTTCCAATATCTCGGTCAACTTTTATCCCTTCACCAAAGCCCCGAAGAAAGATTCTCTGATAATTTATCTTGCTTGCTTGTACAAACTTGCTGTGTGCAAATTGGTGTTGGGTTTGCTTACATTATGAAATGATTTACATTGCTAGCTGTGAAGCACTTTTTATGTATGAAAGTTCCATTATAAATGTAAACCTATTCTTAATGTGGTTCAGTCACAGCATAACTAAGTACTTCCTTACACAGCTAGAATTTATTTTTCCCATTAAAACAAACAAAAGTATAAACATTGAAAGCGGATGTTTGAGTTGTTGCCAGTACTAGCCCTTACATGGGGTAGCTTGCAAGAGTGATATAAACTAAGCAGTTTAGGAATTTGCTGTTCCATTTTTCTGACCTGAAGTCAGGCTTTGTGAGAAATAAACAAGACTGTTTTCACAAGTGATTTATTTGTGTAAAGTTCACTTTTGTTTTGCTTTACAGGTATCAATTTTTAGAAGAAGCATTTCAAAACCAAAAAGTTATTATTGAGACTTTAATGGCCAAGCTTCAAGAAAAGAAGAATTACGTGCAGTATGCAGCTAGTCAAGTGCAGAATAGGTATGTTCAACTTAGTGAGATGGAAATCCTAATTTTATTTTTATTTTCAGTTAGTGCTTATGGAACTTGATACTGTTAGAATAAGTTTCAGCAATTTTAAAATGGAGCATGCAGGACTACCCCCAATTGTTGTCATGTTGGTCCGTGATTGGATCCAGATTTTTTTCTTAAAATTGCTGTTAAGTTGTAAGTGCTTAAGTTTCCTGGATTAGTGACTCTTTCTCAAATCACATATTATTCACATTTCAGACTTGAGCTAATGCTTTATTCAGTTTATCTTTAGCATGATGCTTGGGGGTTTTTCTATGCTTGCAAGCACTGTTGTGAGAAATATATATTTGGATTCATTGAATATACATCCAGCATGTGCTCCATTTAAACTTCCCACCCTTGCTCATGTAACTTTGTCAGCACAACCCTCAATTTCCTTACCGTTTGCCAATCTAGCTTTTCTTTAAATCCATCTATATTTCTCCCTTACAGTTTCTTTTTCCAAGCTGAGCTAAATGACCGTCAGAGATGCCATTCCCCTGTACCCCTCTATCTTGCTCTTTAAATAAAAAGTTAAAAATTTTTTTTTAGTCTTTCATGCTTGTTTGAGTACAGTCTAAAGCTTATCAAACTTCATAGATTCACAGAAGTGTTAGGGCACAGATGATGGTCATTTGGCCCCTTGGGCTTTTGCTGGCTTGTTAAATGAACATCACTATCTAATACCAGTCTCCTGCTTTTCCCTCATACCCTTGCACATTATTTCAATCCAAATCATTTAATGACCTCTTGAATGCCTCAATTGACCTGCCTCCTTCACACTTCCAGGCAATGCATTCTATACCTTAACTACTCACTGAGTGAAAATGTTCTTCCTCACTTCACACTTGTTTCTTCTGCAGACCATTATAAATCTATGCCCTCTCTAGTTTCTCCCTAGTTATTCTATCCATCCAATTCATGATTTTAAAAACCTCCATCAGGTCATCTCTTAGCCTTCTCCAAGGAGAACAGTCCCAACTTCTTCAATCTGTCCTCATAGCTAAATGGTTCCAGGGTTGTGGATATTCTTGTAAACTTCTGTGCTCACTCTAATGTATTCACATCTTTCCTATAATATAGTGCCTAGAAGTGTACACAAAACTCTAGCTGAGGCCTAACAAACGTCTTATTCAAGTTCAGCATCACCTTGTTCTCCAAGTCCTGTTAATAAAATTGAGAATAATGTATGCTTTACTTCTCTTTCTTTTTATCTGTCCTGACATTTTAAATGATTTATACGCATGTTCATCCAGGTCCCTGTACTCCTTTAGAATTGTGTTCCCTATTTTAAGTTGTCCTTCAGTGTTCTTCCTACCAAAGTGAATTGCCTCACTTCTGTACATTAAAAACTCATCTGCTCACTCCACCAACTTACGTATGTCCTTCTGGAGTTCTACACAATCCTTCGCACAGTTTTCAGTTCTTCCTAGTTTTGTGTTATCTGCAAACTTTGATTGCCTCCTATGTGCCAACATCTAGGTCATTTAATACACATCAGGAAAAACGAGGGGCCTAATATCTCCCGCCCTAGGGAACTCCACTTCAAACCTTCCTCCAGCCTGAAAAATATCCATTGGCCTACGTTTCCCATCACTGAGCCAATTTTGTATCCGTGTTTCTACTAACCCTTTTATTCAATGACATCAATTATCTTGAGTCTGTATGGCACTGTATCAGATGCTTTCTGAAAGTTCATGTACACCACATTAAAAACACTACACTCGTTGACCTTTCCTGTTACCTTTTCAAGAAAAACTCCCAAGTTGGTTCAGCATGATTTCCTTTTTATAAATCTGCACTGACACATGCTAATCAACCCATCTTCCATGCAACTACTCATTCTATTGCACATAATTGTCTCTAGAAGCTTCTCCACCTCTGAAGCTAAACTGCATGTTTGTAGTTGCTGGCTTATCCTTACAACTTTTCTTGAACAAGGCTGTAATATTTGCAATTTTCTAGTCTTCTGACACCTCCTGAGTCTAGGGAAAACTGAAAGATTGTAGCCAGTGCCCCTGTAAGTTACACACGCTCTCACTTCAAAATCCTTGGGCACGTTTCATCTGGTCCTGGTTCCATGTCAGTGTTTATGTACCAACATTCTACACAACATTTCTGCACTTCACCATGGCCTTGCCAACATCTCTCTTTTGGATAAAGACAGGTGTAAAGTATTCATTTAACATCTCAACCATGTTCCCTGTCAGCAGGTGTAAATCTTTTTTTTTGGTCCCTAATAAACTCTACTCCTTTTACCACCCTTTCACTATTTACGTGACCATAGAAGACTTTGGGCCACCTCTTTATGTTGGCTACCAGTCTTATCTCATAATTCCTCTTTGCTTTTCTTATTTGTGCTTTCACTTTGCTGCTGAACCTTTGATATTCCTGTTGGCTCTAAATATTATTTTCAACCCAACACTTATCACTCTCCTTTCTCATCCAGGGAGCTTTGGGATGGTTGATGCCACCCTTCCCATTTGAGGAAATATACCATGAATGTACCTAAACCACCTCCTTTTTTGATGGTAGCCTCTTGTTCATTTACTGTTTTTCCTGCCAAGCTCTTGTTCCTGACCATCCTTGTTTATTTTTTTGTCCCATAAAGTGTACTATCAGCCAAATTGATTCTCATTCTGGATTGTTGCATGTTGTTCTTCACCATCACCCTGAACCTTGTGATACAATGATCACTACCTCCTAAATGTTCCCCAACTGGCACTTGATACTCTTGCCTACTTAATTTTATGTCCAGCGGCGTATCATTTCTTTTCCCTTGCTGTTCCATACACTACAAGCATTGTAGTCTGTATGGTTAATTAAAGTACGTCATTTGTAGTGGTTCTATAATGTTGGCATTGCTGTAATTTCCCTGCATGTTTGTTCTTCTTCATCTTCGCCACTAGTTGGCGGTGAATGGACTACATCTTGCAATTCAGTTGTACCCTTTATGTTCTTTATTTCCAGCCAAATTGATTGTATGCTTGGATCCTCCGTGACAAACGCACAGCTACAGCATATTTTTGGACTGTGCACATTAAAACTCATTAGTAATTCAATAATGTTTCATACCTTTAACTCGTCTCCAAATAGTAAAAAAACTTCTATTTTTACAGTTGTAAATTACAGTATAGAAATCCTGTAATGAAAGCACAAAACATAGCAAATACCCAGCAAATCAAGTAGCATCCATGGAGAAAGATAGTTATTGTTTAAAGTAAATGACTTCTATCAGACAAGTTTTTATGCCAGCAGAGGTGAAGCGACAGGAAAAACAAGTCTGTGATAGGGTGGAAAGCACGAGAGAGCAACTAAGATTTTATGATGCAAAAACCAAAGTAAGTGGCAATTGATATAGTAAAGAAATAAAAGTTATATCCAGATTAGTCATCACTGGCTTTATATAGTAACTGTCTGAATGCAACATGAACGGATAAACAAAAATACAAGCTGGAGAATAAAGCAGAACAAAGTATAAAACAAGATGAAGGCAGTGGTTATGATCAAGTTGCCAAACTCCGTACTGGATCTAGAAGGTTGTAGAATGCTCCGATGAAAGATGAATTTCTGATACTTGAAATTGCGTTGGATTTCATTGGAACACTAGCAAACCATGGACAGAGGAGTCTGCCTGGAAACAATTTGGAGAAGTATGGTAGCAAGTGACAGGAAGCTCAGAGTCCTGGTTGCAGACTGGAAATAACTTGTGAAGTGGTCATTAGTTCTATGTTTGGTCTTCCCTCTGTAGAATGAACCATGTGGCGAATAATGAATGTAATATACTAAACTAAATGGAGTGCCTGTAAATTGCTGTTTCACTTGGGAGTGTTTGGGATCTAAGATGGTGAGAAAACTGGTGCTGTTCATGTTTCATGTTACCCTTAATATGGGTCTAGTACAACTTAAAATGATTTTGATTTGAATGCCACACTATGTGCTTCATTGGATTTTGACCCAGTTGTCTTTACAAGGATTTTGCAATCTTCAGAAGGTGGCCATTTCTGGAGTCTTAATTGCTTCAGCACATGAAATGTTTTGTTGTCTTGCAGTATTGCATTCATGTATGACCTTTGTGTGCCTGCAGGTTCTTCAGCCCTAGGAAGGGTGAGCAATCACAGGCAAACTCGGACCTATTTTTGATTTGTGTTTCATGCAAGTTTCTAGCAGAATACCATTGTTTAACAACCCCATCAATTTATTGCCTTTCGAAATACACAAAGTTCAGTTTTAGAATCCTACTGCCTGTGTCAATAAGATTAGCTGAATCTGCACAGCCCACGTTTTAGACTGAAGTTATTTTTTTTTCCCTAGATAATTGTACTGAGCAACTGGGGGGAAAACAGGTTCTGTCTGCATATTAGTGAAAACAGGCAACTTTTGAATCCATTTCTTTTAGAGTTCAGTAAGATGTGTGTAACATTCTGCCAAAAATTTTCTTTAATATATTTGGGTAGTGCCAACATTTACCATCTATTAAGTTTGCCAACAAGGAAATACAGTATTAACCAAGCTATTATCTAAAATATTCCTTCTCAAAGGTCACACTTTCCTTTAACAGTATCATATTGCTTTAGTACAGAGCAGAAAGAGTTTAATGGTTTATAACATGCTTGGGAGCAAGTGTTCTGAAGTTGTGATAAATAGGTTTTTGGTTTTCATTTCTGCGAAGGTGACTTGGGGGCTTCTGGCCCTTTTTTAAAAAAAGACTAATTCAAGTAGTGGATTAAAACAATATTACCATAAAAAAAGAGTTAAATTCCTAAATAAGCATCCTAGTGACTCATAGGTGAAGTGTTTACTAAGTTGAGCTTTTGTAATTTCGGAAAGGAAGGAGGCCGAAAGCAAGTTCAGTTCTGAAGAAAGGTTCCTTACCAACAGATGTGATTTCTAGCATCCTCATTGGGCTTTTTCCAGTTAGTTTGATTACTATGCTTTTCTTTGGAGCCTGATGAGAACAGCCAGTGAGTTAGCCAGAATATTGGGAAGAATCATATCCTAATGTGTAAACGTTTGCTGAAAGGACACAGCGGTGACCTCGTCAGTGGAATAAAGAATGAACTGGTGAAATAAGTGATGTTTCTTTAGAGTTATCTGTAGAGGATATTGCTGAGGAGAAGACTGTTTCTTCCTTTCGCTGTTCATGATATAATAATTCCAACTTATGCTATAATTTTTTTCCTATTGTGTAATGAACTTATTCTATTAAAAATACATCGGCAACCTCTTGCAAATATGTTCAGTAACTGAGCATGACAAATTGGAAAAAAGCAAGACTTATGATCTGGAAAGCCAGACTTCACTCTGGGATATGACTTGTAAATTATTGCCATCAGCTAGGTTCATAACAAGAGAAATAAATATCAGACTTTTTGTCACGAGCTGTCCGAGTGAAATCTTGAATATCCATTGGCCAGAGTTGTTTTTGACATGGGGAAATGTTAAGCAAGATATGGCAAAGTTTAAATAAAATTGAGAAAATGGCATAGGATTGGTGGAGGAGAAACATTGGGGTGGGGGGGTGGTTGTAACACTGAAACTTGCAGAGCTAAGGTATGATGAGCTAAGGATTTGAAACTTGGGTCAGAATATTTCTACACTCTTCCAGTTCTTCCTTCTGGCTTGTTGATTCAATTTTAATTGCAGATCCATTAGCAGCCATGCCTTCAACTACCAAGCATGAACACTAAGATTCCCTGAAGTGTCTGCTCTTCTATTCATTTTTTAGGCACTCTTCAAAACTTCTCTTTGACTCTTTTAATCACCTGCCCTAACCGTTTCTTGCATGGCTCCATGTCAAATTTTGTTTTATATCCACACCTTCAGCATTTTACTATAAAGTTAGTAAATAAAATTTAAATTGTAAATAGTTCAGGGTACATAAACATCACTTTTCTGAGGCATTGGTGAAGAAAAGAAGATCAAGATTCTCTATTTGAATTGGATTTTGTAAAATATCTTTATTGGATTACATTTGTTTACTTATGTTTTATTAATAGGTTAAACGAAGTAACCGATACGAACAAAAAGGTTGAGCATGATATTAAAGTTGCCATCTTCACGCTCATTAATGAAATCAACAAAAAGGGCAAGAATCTTTTGCAGCAGCTGGAGGTATGATATAGTAAATGCCTGCATAGTGGTCATATCCTAGTGCTCGTAACTCTTACTCCACTTTGGTCTTCCCTCCTTTTTCTACAGAATGTGACAAAAGAAAGGCAAATAAAATTACTGCAACAGCAGCAGGATGTTACCAGTCTTGCCAGGCAGGTGGAGCACGTAATGAACTTTGCAAAGTGGGCCATTTCCAGTGGAAGCAGCACAGCACTACTTTACAGCAAGCGATTGGTAAGGCAGTCACACTTTTTATGTCTGGAAAATGTAGCTTGTATCCCTGTCTGAGGTTAAAGTTACCAGTGGCTTTTGACGGATATGAAATTTTTCGTACGATAATCTATTGGACTGCCATTTATTCGTACTGGGTGTTATTTAACTAAATGCGGAGTCGGAATTTCCTAAATAACAGCTAGAATGTCGTAACACCTGGACTGGTTCAAATACTACATCAGGACCTTTGAAATATTCTGGCTGCTTGTTTGCTTGTTTTTTAAGGTGTTGCTGTTGATTCAAATGTCATATCCCTAAAATTACTTAGTTCAGACCACATTTTGAACACTTAGACCTGACAAGTTCGTTGTAGGCAGAGACCCAGGCCTCCCCTGGCAGTGTACCTCAAGACCCATCATCTCAATTAACAATATACCCCATTCAGTACAGAGGTTTTGCTATCTTGGGATAACAGTATGCTGGATGATAAAATCAACCAAAAGCAAACTCCGTGTTTTGTAAGCTCACTTTCAGATTTTGGAAAGAGCGTGAGGGTTAATCTAATAATGAAGACTGAAGCCGACAAGACAGTTGATCTTACACCACTTGATGATTGCAGGACTTCAGTAACCTAGTATTAAATAAAGTCACTAGAAACATTCCATCTTTGCTGACCATGAAATCTAATGTGCAACATCTTATGGCAGGACCCAAAGCCCTAATACCAAAGTTGTTGCAAAGTGTTGCAAAATCGACATAGACTATGCTTATCAGAGCTCACATTTGCTGAGTTGATCATGCAGTTTGCATGGAGGATTACTAGATTAATTGTAACTTAATTGCAATTAGAAAATCAATTTGCAAACACATTCGATGGGGCTGGGGAGGGGTAAGGTGGAAGAAGTGGGAAAACAACCTTGGACATTCCAAGATTGAGAAATCCCTGTCGTTAAGCCCTCTTGACATTTTTAGGAGAACAGAGTTAGGCACCTTCGGGAAATCTGACCAGGCACAGAGCCAATATTTGCATCCATCTCTCCAACATTGACTTCATGTGCAGTATTTGCATGATTATTCAAACTGAGACTTAGTCTTACATGGGATGACTTCACCAAGGCTATAAATACCTTTTTTTCTGAACAGTAATTCATTGAAACAATAGAAATTGTCACTTGATAGAATACATACTTCCATAGGATCGTAATGCTTCAAAATGCTTTTTTATTCATTCACGGGATAAGGGTGTCATTGACTAGCCTAGCATTTATTGCCCATCCCTAATTGCCCAGAGGGCAGTTATGAGTCAACCACATTGCTGTTGGTCTGGAGTCACATGGAGGCCAGAGCAGGTAAGGATGGCAGTTTCCTTCCCTAAAGACATTAGTGAACTAGACTGTTTGTCTTTTTTACTGATGGATTCATGGTTGGCATTAGATTCTAAATTCCAGGTTTTTATTGAATTCAAATTCCATCATCGGCTGTGTCAGGATTCAAACCAGGGTCTCTGGATTAACAGTCCAGCAATAATACCACTAGGCTGTCGCTTCCCCTTTGTGGATCAGTGGTACTGTCCCTACTTCTGAACCAGGAGGCCAGGTTCATGTCCCACCTGCTCCATAGGTATGTAATAACATTTCTGAATGGATTGATTAGAAAATATCCAGAATCACAAAAGTGTAATACAGGGGAGGCCATTTGGTTCATGGAGTTGGCAGTGGCTTTCTGAACATTTTAACTTAACTTTGACCTCCTTCCTTACTTTTCCCTGCAACCCCAAACATTGTTTCTGTTTAATTATACATCTAATGCCCTCTTGAATGTCTTATTTGAACCTGCTTCCTCCACTTTCAGGCAATGTATTCCAGACCCTAATTGAATTGTGAGAAAGCATTTGCCACATATTTGACTTTTTTACAAAAAAATTGAAAATTGTACCCTCTACCTCTCAATCTGTTTACAAGTGGCAACAGTTTCTCCCTATCCACCTTGTCCAGACCCCTCTGAAATAACTGCACAGAGACCAGTATCCCATCACCTAGTTTTAATTAATTCCATGTGGCAAGTCCTTGACACTGGTCCAGCTCCCTCAGAGCCAGCTCTCTGAATGATCAGAGCCTCTGACACTCCTGTTTATATCTGTCAGCCAGGGCTCCTTGTTTAGACCAGATTAACAGCCCCAATCAGGGAACCCATTCTATGATGTCCACTTGACTGACCTTGTTACAATCAGTACAATCCTCCCCATGTGAGTCTGAGGACATAAGCTGGTCCTTTTTCTTGTAGTGCTTGCTGGGTCGTTTTAGCGGTATGTAATGTACAGGGGCTTGCGTCTTGGGAGAAATTAACTCTTCTGGTGGCAGAGGTGTCAATGTGGCAAGATCCACCATGTCCATCTCAGTTTGATGTCTCTTTGATACTTGATGGAAAGGGAGAACTAATGGGTTCCAACAGCCTTTCTGACTGTTCTGAGGAGCAGGACACGTTTTGAGAGCTCGCGGCTTTCATTTGGTACACACGCTTCTTCAAGATTGTTGCTCCTACCCGAGCTTTATATGTAACTGGTCCTGACGTTGCGGCAACCAGGCCTCTTACCCATGTAGGGTAATTTCTGTGGTTCCTACACCAAACTTGGTCCCTTGTCATAAACTGCCTCTCTCACTTGGAGGAGTCTGGCTTCCTGCACTGGCATCCCTGGTGCCATTTCTAGCATCGTTCCTGTGTTTCACGCATGAACTCTGTGCATGTCCAGCCACATTTAATGAGCATCTACAGTGCCTAAGAACATTGAACCTATGAAAGGACCTGCATAGTTGACGTGTAACTGAGTCCGGGGCATATTTAGTTAAAGACTGGTCTTGTGATCACTGAAACGGCCCCACTTTCCCATGATAAATTCAGTTGTAGTGCCTGTTTGAAGTCCAGTTGGGCGTCAGCTGGTAGATGTTTTTGCATGGTTACATCATTAATCCCATATACCAACTGGTCTCTTAGCATCTCATTAAGAGTTAAACCAAAGTCACGTGCCTTTGCCATTTGTCTTAACCTAGCCAAAAATCCGGATATGGATTCCCCAGACTTCGATTTGCCGAGTGAAAACGATAGTGTCGCAGAATTAGAGGAGGCTTGGGGTCCTAATTATGCCTTTGCTAAATCTGTCAACTCTTGAAAGGTTTTAGTATCTGGTGCCTCAGGGAAAGTTAGGCTTCTAACAACTGAAAAGCTGCGGGTCCACAAGCTGTCAGGAGAATTACTCATTGCTTCTCATCTGCCCCAATGTCATTTGCCTGGAAAAATAATAACATTCTTTCCACATGCGTGGCCCAGTCTTTGGTAAGATCGAACATGTCAAGCTTTCTAAATAATGGCATTGCCAGGAATTTTTACCCCAACTCAAAGGTGATCGTTGCAAACGAGTTTCTTTATGAACTTGCTTTACTGGTGTTGCCACTGAAATAACTCTCCAGAGGCCAGTATCCCATCACTAAGTCACCCTTTATTTACACGTGGAAAGTTCTTGACACTGGTTCAACTCCCTCAGAGTTGTGTATTTAACTTCGACTGTTCTTGACTGCAAAAGCACCTTTTAATGTAGTAAAATGTCCTGAAATGCTTCAAGCACCTTGACATGTAAAATTTATTGACACAGACCCTTTTCACAGAATAGGATGAAAGAAATGATAGCTGACCCTTAATCTAAACAAAGAATTGAGGGAAAGGTTATCTCAATGGATTGTTGGCCAAAGCTACCACTTAGGATAAGAAACCTGTCCCCTTTTGAAACGGCAGTTGTGTTATGATTACATTGTCTCTATGTTTTGGATAATTTCTATTCTCTTAACTGACATTATATGAGAATAAGCGATTATTTCATCTGATATGTAATTAATAGTCTTGACATCTGTTATGAACCAGACCAGATCTCTCTCTCTCCCGCCACCGCGCAACACCACCAACAATGTTTATATGTATTTGAAGGCAAATGCTGTGTTCCTGATGTGATTCGATTAGTCCACCACTAGGCTTTAACCAAAACACACTTCATTCTTACAACAATTAAAATACAAAAGAAAAGCTTTAAATCTTTTGAAATACTTACCGAAACAAAGTATTATTTAATCGCACATCGTCAACTGTTCCAGTATAGGCAGCATTCCACAAATGCACCCTTTGGCAAAAATGCAATTCAGCAAAACAGTTGTGGTTCTCAAGTGCTGTTTCTCTCCAGTCCAGAAGAAAGAAACAACCACGTCTGAGTTTTTAAGAGGAAGCCTTCATGTTTAAGGCTTCACGCTAGCAACCGGGAACTCAAACTTTTAGCTTGGCAGCCAGCAGAAACTTCTCACTAACTGAAAGCAAAACTAAAGCCTTACTGAATCTGTGTGAGCCCTGACCCTGCCAACTCTGACTCTTTTTGTCTCATTTTTTTGGGGGCGGGGGGGGAACACCTAGGAAGAAATCAAAAGCTGATTACCAGCTGCCTGTCTGAAGGAAACACCTCGGTGCCACTTTACAGCAGCCCTCTGCGAGAGAAGCAGGGCAATGCACATCTCCATTAAAGGCATTGTACCGTCACAACATCCCAAACAAGCTTGTTTAGAAAGTACTTGACTTTGTGACTCTCAACTTCTTAACAATATTTTAATAAAACCCTAAAAATCTGCACGTTAAAGATCTATTTTTAACTTACTTAGACTTAACATCGGGTGACTCCATCAGTGCTGGAATTGAGTTAGCGAACTGTGTAGTTCAGATGAGAAAATATGATATAAATGATGAGCAAAATAATTGAGTAAACTAAATAACCCTGACCTTCTCTACCACCAGCAAAGCTTGAGCATTAAAAATTATAAAATGGCAATTTTGAGCAGAGAAGCCATAGGTCAATGGCAGTTATTTACTTGGCAAGGATTGGTTAAACTGAACCTAGTAAAATCTGTTCCATGATTTGTTTTCCAGATTACCTTTCAGTTGCGACACATTCTCCGGGCACGTTGTGACCCAGTCCCGGCCGCTAATGGTGGGATGCGCTTTCATTGCGATCCTACATTCTGGGCAAAAAATGTGGTGAATTTAGGTAAGATGTTGTCAAGATGAATTATTTTGTAAATGTAATGTTAGCCTTGATTAGTAATGATTGTTTTTCTTTCCTTCCCTTCAACTTCAGATTTTCTTCTTCCCACTTCCCTCAGCGCATATATTTAAATGTCTCAACACATTTTTTGTTTGTTTGTTTTACATACAGCATAGACTGAAAGATTAAACTTCCAGTGATCAAAACTAAGCTGTTTAGTGGCATGTGTTCATTGAAATGTTTAATTTATTTAAGTGTGTTGTGGCTTTAACAAGCCAATCTTTCCTGTCATCGTTTTCCCTGAACTGGCTACCCTTCCACAGTTTTAGAATCAATGTTGTTTACCTTTACAGCTTTGTGTTACAAACTGAAAATGTTAGAAAAATCACGGTACCTTTCATAACTAACACCAGCAAATGTTGTATTGGCAATTCTTATGATGCACATAATTATATGCAGATAAGAATTAGCCTGAAGATTTGATTTTTATTTTCTAACTAGGCAACCTTGTGATTGAAAACAAGCCGAACCCTCCAGGTTACACTCCCAATGTAGTTATTGGGCACGCTTCCCCAGGCCAGGGGCCGGCTGGGGGAAAACCTCAGGGTCAGATTAATCTTGCACAGTTGCGTCTGCAGCACATGCAGCAGCAGTTTGCACAGAAGCAACAGCAGATGCAACAAATGAGGATGAGCCACCCAGTAGGACAACACCCCAGGACAACAGGGCCACAGATGGTCCAGCAGCAGGTACACTATATGTCATATTATAAAAATGTGGTCCATTCTTTCCTCTTGATAAGGGAGGGATAGCTGTTTATAAATATGAGAAGGATGTAACAAAAACAGATTTGTGTATTTGCTTTTTCTTGCATAAGAGTCATTATTTGAGCTGGAGAATATTATAACAATCATAGATTAGGCTTCTGATTGCTACACTCTTTGTACAGGCAGAATTATGTTGGCATTGGTTGAGTAAAGGCTTCAACATTTAAGTGTCTAGAAGGTAGGCCTAAAAGTATGTAAAATATGAATTTATAAATATAATTGACCGTTTTATTTGTTGCGTCATTGCATCCACTGAAAGATTTTATAGAAGTTGTGGTAGCACAGGAAGATGTAAAGACCAGAGGTTCAGCATAGCTGGAAAGCTGATAATTGTATTTCAGAAATTGTAGGTGTGGCACAGTTTGTTTCCAGTACTAACCCCCCCCACCTGCCTTCAGTTAATTAACATAATGCTAACATTTGCTTTTCATTCAAGACAAAGAAGTTTGTACCCATACCTATAATTTCTGCAATTAACTTCGAAGTATTTTAAATCTTGCATAAGTTGATTCATGTTATCTTCTTAGCCACCACGTTTGATTAGCATGCAAGCCATGCCCAGAGGAAATTTGAATGGTGCTGCACTTCAGGCCCACCAGGCTCATCAAGCCCATCAGATGAGACTGGCACAAAATGCTGCTCGTATGGCTGGAATGTCTCGACACAATGGACATCAGTACCCAATGATGCCTCAAATACCACGGCAGGTAACCAGGTCTTCCTCAGGAATTTTCAGTTGGTAGTTCCTGGTAGTTCCAATAAAAAGTAACTTGGGTATATTCCTTGTATTTATTAATTACTCTGTTATATTAAAATTCCTAATATGATTATACTATGTGCAAAACATTTTAATTTTAAAACTGACCTTTGCAGTTTGCATATTTTATTTGACATTTAGATCATGGTCAAGTCAGCAATCATACAAGTTTGGAAACTAAAAAGCAGCTTATCCCATTCCTTAAGAATCTGTCAGCCTTTGATCAATATAACGTTCTTTTCCGAGTCAGATTTATTGACTCAAACCCCATTCCTGAAACCTGAGCGCATACTTTGGACTGGTGCT